CCTCCCGTACGGCCCATGCTGGAGCTCTTTTTCGATTATCGGCCTGCATGGTTACCTGTGCTGATGAGCTCTCTATGGTCACCTGTGCTCTCCACGCTGAGCAAACAGGAAATAAAATTCAAATGTTCGCGGGGCTTTTCCTGTCTACCTGGCCAGTGCATCCGAGTTCAGATTGCTGTCCAGAGCGGTCACAATGGTGCACTGTGGGATAGCTCCCGGAGGTCAATACCGTCGAATTGCGGCCGCACTAACCCTAATTCGAAATGGCAATATCGATTTCGGCGCTACTCTGCTCGTCGGGGAGGAGTACAGAAATCGATTTTAAGAGCCCTTTATTTCGTAAGAAATGGCTTCGTTGTGTGGACGGGTGCAGGGTTAATTCGATTTAATTCTGCTAAATTCGAATTAAACTCATAGTGTAGACCAGGCCTTCGTTGCAAAGGTGAGCCAAGAGGATAGATTGACACCCCTGCCCCACAAAGAATAGAAATCACCATGCAAAGAATAGTGAGCAGTGACCAAAACAACTTCTGCAGTTTAAAGACCTTAGGCCAGGGATGCATTTCACCCCTTAAATTCCCAAGGGAGATCAGTAACACTCTCTATAATGACCCACTAGAGTGAGAATACATCAGGTGATCAGGAACCTGAGCACAAAGTGACCATGGGATCTACAGTAGTTTAATCAATAAACCTCTCAGCTGGGTACCAGTCCAAGAAAGCTGTTGATACAGTGGCTTCATAAGCCATGGGGCTGTTAATTCTCTGGATCAGACAGATTATTTTTAAAGCCATTTTTAACAGTCTCCTGAGGGAAGACAGATACCCAAGTGTTATAACAAAAATGTTTAGCTTTTATGTTGTGTCTTGCCTGTTCAAATCACTGTACAGCCATTGACTAGTAATATTACTAATCATGTTTATTATGGCAGTGCCTATGGGACCAGTTGAGACGGAAGGCCCACTGCGCACAGCGCTGTACAAACACAGAGTAATAGACAGCCCATGCCCCAAAGACTACCTAATTCTCACAGCACTCTGGGGAGGTAGGTGGATAAAAATGCTCATCACCATTTTACAGAAGGGGAAATGGAGGCAGAGAGATGAAGTGACTTGCTGCTATTATCCTACTGGATTTCCAGGGGCAGGTTTTGTGTGTGTGCTTGGAGAGAGGAGGGACAGGGGAAGTTTGTCATGTTGGAACAGACAGTGTTACCTGTCACAGTTTAGGGCAACTGCACCTGTGTTCCCCCTCAGGGGGTCCAGCCAGGGCGCCCACTCTCAGGCTTCCAGCGCACCAGCAGTTGACTTTTTGGATGGAGATCTGCATCTCTGTCCCTTCTGACTGGGGTATTTGCAGGCTGAACAGTTCCCTGCCATCACTGTAGTATTCCCAGCTCAGACAAGCTGCCCTAGCACATCTGCTTGCTTTCTCTGTGGAGACAGTTAACTTTGTCCTCACCCATAACTATTTCACATTTGGGGACAATGTGTACCTTCAAATCAGCGGCACTGCTATGGGTACCCGCATGGCCCCACAGTATGTCAACATTTTTATGGCTGACTTAGAACAACGCTTCCTCAGCTCTCGTCCCCTAACGCCCCTACTCTACTTGCACTACATTGATGACATCTTCATCATCTGGACCCATGGAAAAGAAGCCCTTGAGGAATTCCATCATGATTTCAACAATTTCCACCCCACCATCAACCTCAGCCTGGACCAGTCCACACAAGAGATCCACTTCCTGGACACTACAGTACTAATAAATGATGACCACATAAACACCACCCTATACTGGAAACCTACTGACCGCTATACTTACCTACATGCCTCCAGCTTTCATCCAGACCACACCACTCGATCCATTGTCTACAGCCAAGCTCTATGATACAATCGCATTTGCTCCAACCCCTCAGACAGAGACAAACACCTACAAGATCTCTCTCAAGCATTCTTACAACTACAATACCCACCTGCTGAAGTGAAGAAATAGATTGACAGACCCAGAAGAGTACCCAGAAGTCACCTACTACAGGACAGGCACAACAAAGAAAGTAACAGAACGCCACTAGCCATCACCTTCAGCCCCCAACTAAAACCTCTCCAGCGCATCATCAAGGATCTACAACCTATCCTGAAGAATGATCCCTCACTCTAACAGATCTTGGGAGACAGGCCAGTCCTTGCTTACAGACAGCCCCCAAACCTGAAGCAAATACTCACCAGCAACCATACACCACACAACAAAAACACTAACCCAGGAACCTATTCTTGCAACAAAGCCCGTTGCCAATTCTGTCCACATATCTATTCAGCGGATACCATCATAGGACCTAATCACATCAGCCACACTATCAGAGGCTCGTTCACCTGCACATCTACCAATGTGATATATGCCATCATGTGCCAGCAATACCCCTCTGCCATGTACATTGGCCAAACTGGACAGTCTCTATGTAAAAGAATAAATGGACACAAGTCAGACATCAAGAATTATAACATTCCAAAACCAGTCGGAGAACACTTCAACCTCCCTGGCCACTCGATTACAGACCTAAAAGTCACAATATTACAACAAAAAAACTTAAAAAACAGACTCCAACGAGAGACTGCTGAATTGGAATTAATTTGCAAATTAAATTAGGCTTGAACAAAGACTGGGAGTGGATGGGCCATTACACAAAGTAAAACTATTTCCCCATGCTTACTTTCCCCCCTCTACAGTTCCTCACATCTCCTTGTCAATTGCTGGAAATGGGCCATTTTCATTACCACTACAAACAGTTCTTTTTCTCTCCTGTTGATAATAGCTCACCTTAACTGATCACTCTCCTTATAGTGTGTATGGTAACACCCATTGTTTCATGTTCTCTGTGTGTATATATATCTTCCTACTATATTTTCTACTACATGCATCCGATGAAGTGGGCTGTAGCCCACAAAAGCTTATGCTCAAATAAATTTGTTAGTCTCTAAGGTGCCACAAGTACTCCTGTTCTTTTTGCGGATACAGACTAACACAGCTGCTACTTTGAAAGTTAACAGTGTGACTGCCCATGGTTATAGAGACCACACAGCTCTTCTTATGTGAGCCTATGTTATTATTAGGGTAAAAGCACTGTCGAGAAAATGTGTTTAAAACAATAGACAAACCTACCCGCATGTCAATAAACGTACCAGACATTATCCTAACAAGGGCTCTGACAGGAGCAGTCCTTCGACACGCCACCTGAGGAGTTTCCTTTGTGGTCACAAGTTCATCACAGCTTCAGCTCCATATAAGTACCCAGTCTTATGGGGTCTCAGTAGGCCCCATACTTCCAATCCTACCGTAAGGATTGGGGCCCTCCATGCACCATGTTTGCTGGATGAGGAAGAAGGCTCCAAGTCAGTTTAAAACCAGACTATTTATCCAATAAATTTGACTGTTGGTCACTGGAGAATCCCATTTGAACTAGCATATGCACATCTCTGCGTGGGGGGAGCGGGAGGAACATTTCAAAAGGCTGATAACAGAGGAAGTCCATTAGCATCCCCCTCTTCCTAGAGAAGGTCCATACAGTGCCCCGTAACACGTACACAATTGCATTTTAATACAATGGAATCCCCAAGGTACTAACCCTGATTCAATCACGTTTTACTTAATTCAGTAACATTTATCTTCATTCCATAACCTTTGGTCAGGATACTACAGGATATTGTTAGTCTGTCACAATACCTCTGATCATTTCAGTGTTGCTTTGACTTCCCCCAGGTGACCTGTCACCATGCCAGGTGCTGACACGATGACAGCTAGCAAGGCAGCCGACGTGAGCAGCAAGTCTGAAAACGGTGTCTGCAAATCCATTGAGAGGTGAAAAGTCCTAAATTCTTGTTTTTCTTTTTCCCAAGGGAGGGAAGTGGAGAGGGAGTCATTACTTTCCATTGGTGCTCTCTCTCATAGCCTAAAATGTGCCTCTAGCATCAATATGCCTCAGCCGGTGTCTCTAGGCCATCAGGTTGTACGTTTAAATCCCACATCCTGATGTTAGTCTAATAACTTGTGATGATACCACAGTGCACTGCTAGACTAGGGGTGGGGGGGTCCACCCCATTAGAGGCATCATCCAAAAGGTTACACGAAAGTCCCTCCTCCCACTGAAATAGGCAGAAATTACAGGAGCATGAGACTTGGGGACAATGATACCCTGGTAGTATCTCCCTTCTATTTGGCAACCACAGATGCCAATGTCCAAGGCTGGGTGTTAGCTATGGCTGGATGCATAATGGCTGCCAGGTTTGCTTACATGCTCACTGCACTACCAGCAGGAAACCTAGGGCTGACCTACACACTGTGTTTTTGCACCATTGTAACTAAATCGATTTAGTTGTGTCAGTGCCAACCCCTGGTGTAGACGCACTTCACCCAATTTATATGAATCCAGCAGTTGATAGAATTAAACTAAACTGCGGTAAGTGCATTTATGTTGGTTTAACACAGGGGTGGGCAAACTACAGCCTGGGGGCCGCATCCAGCCCTCGATCTCCCGTCGGGGAGCAGGGTCCGCGGCTTGCCCCGCTCCAGCGCTCCAGCTGGGGAGCTGGGTCCAGGGCTTGCCCTGCTCCGCACGGCTCCCAGAAGCAGTGGCATGTCCCCCCTCTGGCTCCTATGCACCGGGGCAGCCAAGGGGCTCTGCATGCTGCCCCCGCCCCAAGCCCTGCCCCAGCAGCTCCCATTGGCCAGGAACCGCGGTCAATGGGAGCAGTGGGGGCGGCACCTGCGGATAGGGCAGTGCGCAGAGTCGCCTGGCTGCCCCTCCATGTAGGAGCCATAGTGGGGACATGCCACTGCTTCTGGGAGCTGCTCGAGGTAAGTGCCGCCCAGAGCCTGCACCCCTGACCCCCTCCCGTGCCTCAACCTCTTGCCCCAGCCCTCATCCCCCTCCAGCCCTCCAAACGCCTTGTTCCCAGCCTGGAACACCCTCCTGCACCCCCAACCCCTCATCCCCAGCCCCACCCCAGAGCCCCACACCCCCAGCCAGAGGCCTCATCCCACCCCACTCCCAACCCCCCTTGCCCCAGCCCTTAGCCCCCTCTCCCACTCTGAACTCCTCATTTCTGGCCCCACCCCAGAGCCCGCACCCCCTCCCACACCCCAACCCCCCAACTTCGTGAGCATTTGCCCACCCCTGGTTTAACTTAAGGGGGTTGTGCCTCTGTAACTAAATAGTTTTAAAATTGATTTACTTATAGTGATGCCATCTTTCTAGCATAGACAAGTCCTTATTGTCTCTGAAGAGCTTTGGATTTGAAGTGATTATGTTATAAATGTAAATGTCTTCCCAGCTGGGGCTTAATGGATGTTGATAAAAGCACTTTGAGATCCTTGGGTGACAGGTGCTCGGTGAAGTACATGTTTGTCTGATGCAGCCAGGTCTCATGTAATTAAGTGGTTTTTATCCTTTGCCACGACAAGCTTCATTTAGATGGCGTGCTCTGTGGGGCAAGAACTCTCTGTGTGGTGTGTGTTTGTACAATGGGAGCCTAATCCCTTTGTGGGTCCCCTGGATGTTACAGCTGTGTGACTGATGAACAATAATAAGAAGAAACATAAAAGTGCAATGTTATTGTGTTAATGGGCACTCTGGAAAAACTTGGAAGGTGAAATTATTGGGGGAGAGGATCACTATTGGTGAGGTTCTTTCTTCTGTTTCATCGATCTCAAGGCAAGAAAGGGCTGCTGTGATAATCTAGCCTGACTGCCTGTGTAACACAAGCCATAGAATTTCATCCAATGGCTCCTTCATCTAGCCCCTATGTTTTAGAACAACATCCAGCCTTGATTTAAAGACTCCAAATGATGGCATGAAAATCATTTGCATTGGTTAATTTCCCTCCTTTTATTTCTAGTTTGAACTTTGCTAACTTCAGCTGCCAGCCACTGGATCTTGTTATGCCTTGTCTCGATGATTAAGCCAAATAGTCTATTTAGAAAGGCGTTACCGAGTAGACTTTAGAGGATTACCTACGGTGTCCCAAGTCTGCACATCTGTTTGATAATCATGTGCTAGCTACTAAATCTTAAATAAACTAGAGTCCATTTTGACTTTTATTTTGATGCACCTGTCTAATGCACTAAGTAAAAAAGCCCTACTATTCTATTTAAAATGCATACAACAATACAAACGGACCTGTTCTCAGTATGAACATTCTTAATTTTCAAAAACTATAATCCCACCCATGCTCACCCCATTCCACTCCCTCAGAGAAAGCCTGGGATAATAGACAGGTCTTGCATCAAACTGGGCTCTGTCATAGCAAGAGAGAGAAGGAGTGCATTCCAGAGTCCAGGATCCTCCCCTGAGAATGCTCTGCAGCAGCCCCCATCTTTGAGCATCCCTGCCAACCTCACCTGCTTCAATAGAGCGTATAGAGCTGGTGTACTGATGGCCAAACCTAGAATGATCAGCAAAAGTGATTTTTTCTTCTCTTTTGTCTTTGCTGTGCAGGGTCAAGCTTGCAAGTAAAAATAATAGAAACACGGTGAAGGAATTAGAAAGACTTTGGTTTGGGTCTTCAAGTGAAAATTATTCTGAAGGTGCCAGTTTCACTCTGAGTCTAGGACCTAAAGCTGAACAAGTTTCTTCTGTGGTGAAAAGCCCATTGAAATCACTGGAGAACTTGATGCTAGATCCAAGGCTAGACTGCTTTCAGCAGAACATGCTGAGTCCCAAAATGATTATCAGTGACCAATCTGTGGATCTTAATGTCAAGGAGAGCAGCGAAATCATAAGGAGACAGATAGGAGGCACTCAGCATTTACAGTTAGCTGGGAAAGTCAGTTTGAGGAATAAGCCCTTCAGTATCAAGGACAAGATTTCCGAGTGGGAAGGGAAAAAGGAAACACCTTCTCCTCTGGTCAGTCGGAAGGAGGAAGAGCAAGGAGTTAAAGAGGAGCACAAGATGCCATGTGTGGTGGAGAAGATGAGTGGGGAAGTTTTGGGGCCTAGGAAAGTGGACACCAAGAGACTTATAACCTGGGAGTTGGAATGCAAAGGGATAGGCAAAGAGAATGAAAGAAGAGTGGGCACTTCAAAGAGCATGGGGCAGGGAACAGAGAGGAAAGTGGAAATGCAGGAGAAGGAAGAGGAGGTTGATTCCAGTGTTGGAAAATGCAAGGAGGTGAAAGGTGGTAAGTGGGAGGTCCAGAAAGAGAACCTTTCAGTACTGACTCAGGTCAAGAAACTGGAGCAGGCCTTGAAAGAAGGATCAGCAGAATTGCAGCCACAGTTGCCAGGTACTTATTATTCCCCACACTGTCTGCAGGAGAAGGCAGATGAGGGACAAACCTTCCCAGAGGACCAGGAAGGTGTTTGTGGCTCTGAACTCAATAAGAGGCTCCTCAGCTTAGACTCAGAAATCAGTGAGCCCATTTTTGGGACTCTGGAAGAGGTGAAAGCATCTCAAGTGAAATGCAAGGATCACAGCGTGGAGAATGTGTACACAGAACCAGGGATACCGGAGAAGAAACCCTTCATCAACCCACTTCCAAAGCCCAGGCGAACTTTCAAACATGAGGGAGAAGAGGGATGGATTCCGGCAGCTAGAAATAAGAGAAACTTGCCCCCTCTGCCATCTATACCTCCCCCTCCTCTCCCTTCTTCTCCTCCCCCATCAGCTGTCAGCAGAAGACTATGGAATGGGAAACATAAGAATAATGCTGACCACAGGTATTCTGGCTTTACTATTCTAATGCTGGTACAGAAGTTCTTGATTAATTTGATGGTGGTGTACAGTTCTGCTTCTGAAAAGGGCCTCCACAAAAGTGGCATCATTGGGGTCTATGTTTATTGGGTCTCAACCTTGTTCATTAGTAGGAGGATGTCTTTCTGACTATCCGCTCCCTAAATTCACCCTGGGCTCTGAAAGTGAAGTAGTGTTCTTTCCGCCTCAGCAATGTCAGTGATCATGAGCCTGCAGGATATATTCTGCTCTGTTACACCTGTGCAAACACTCAAGGCCGATAGGTTTCCACAGGTGTAATGACTTTGAGATGGAGATCCTATGACTAGTGACAATGAGTGAGAATGAATGATTCCAGCTTGACTCGCCGATCCCAGGATGAGTTCATGATGTTGCCAGTTTAAAGACAAAACAAACAATCTTTTTTGCTTGCAGAATGAGCACAGCTGATCAGAAGCCATTGAGAGATGGTCAGGGGGGACCTTGCCATGCCATTTTTACACTGTCACTTTTCAGAGGAGAGCTGCCCTTTCTGCTCAAGTCTGTTCCTTGTTTACTCATGTTTTATTGGAGGTTGCTCCCCACCCCATCCCCTTTTGTAAGTCCAAATATTTGATGGTAGGGGAAAACCTGCCTTAAAAATGTACTGCTCTTTTTGAGCCTATCCTCTGCAGTGGATCTACCTTAAAAATAAAAATTCCTGACTTCATTTGGACTGGGAGAGGACTTTAAACCTCTCTGTGATCGACTGGCTAGGATGCTCCACTGCTGTCCCTTCTCATTATTCAATGTTGCATATTGCTCTCCTGCACCACTCATAGGAGGCCTGATTTCTGACAATGCTTACTCAAGTTGAGTAGTAATCAGTGGGACTGCTTGTGGAGGAAGACACTACTTCGGGTATGTCTAGTCTGCACTCAGAGGTGTGATTGCAGCACGGGTAGGCATATCCACGCGAGCTTTACCTGTGCTAGCAGAACTAAAAATAGCAGTGTTACTGGGGCGACATGGGCTTAGTGCGAGTAGGTACCCGGGGTCCTTGGCGTGCTTGGACAGTCCACACTGAAGACTGTGCTGCTGCATCTACACTGCTATTTTAGCTGTGCTCGCGCAGGTATGTCTACCCGTGATGCAGTCAGATCCCAGATTGCCGTGTAAACGTGCCGTAGGGGTTGCAGACTGTGGCCCATAGTGTTTTACATGTGTGCTAGAATCATTATACACTAAATAAACCATTGCAACCCTGACATTTGCTGACTAGTCCCAGTCTGGTAAAAACTGATTGTTGTGTCAACATTGCTTTATACGTTGTACGGGATGGATCTGTGGTGCGCTGGCTCCTCCGTAGCTCATGTTGCTGGCTGAGTGACTTGCTGGAGACGAGTGAATGATATTGAATTATTGGACTTGTAAAGTCTGTTTATCTCTACCACTCTCCATCCTATTTCTCCCCCACCCCCTCCTTCTCCCCTCCCCTTCCCCCCCGAATGGCACAGGAAGTCCTATGAGTTTGAAGACTTGCTGCAGTCGTCGTCCGAGAATGGCAGGGTGGATTGGTACGCTCAGACCAAGCTGGCCCTCACACGCACTTTATCTGAGGAAAACGTCTATGAAGACATTCTGGGTAGGAGCTTCAAGAGGGGGATGGGGAGGGGTTGGACAACTAAAAAGACTTGGAGACCATCGATAAAAACGTGTCACAGTCCAAGGCCTAACCTAGGAGAGTGTATTTATTAGGCAAGAGCATGCTGTGGTGCATCACACACAAAATATCAGCCAGCAGGAAGAAAAATATTGTGTGAACGGGTGACTGTGAAATTAAAATATTGGGTCCCACAATCCCTGGGTTCGCGTTTGTGGCACTGTGATTTATTCCACCCTTCAGCGTTAGTGCAGGTGCCTGGGGATGGCTGAGATTCCATCAGCGCCATTCCCAGGAATATTATTTTATTATCCTACACTTACATACACAGTGTTTTCCAGAACGTAGAGCAGAACACATCCCGTGTCCTGAAGAGCTTTGAGTCTAGCTGTCGCAGAGCTAGAGTTAAGTGAATCTCTTGGCAGAGTTTAGCTGGAGAGGAAGGAAATCAGTGCTGTTGTATTCTACAGAGGGGGGTCACGTTGTTTGGGATGGGAGAGAGCCACAGGAACCAGCAGGGCATTGCCATTTTGATCTTAGCAAACTCTCATGGTGTTTGGTTAGAGAGGTCTCACAAAGGATACACATCACCTTGGGATTTGCTACAGACAAGGTGGAGATGCCCTGTCCTTTCCCCGATCGGAAGAGATGGGCATTAGTTGTAAATTTTAAAACTGCCTGCCTCTTTTGCAAGAGTTAGGGGGACCTTATGTGCCCTCTTTCCCCAGCTGGTTTGGGGGCCAAAGGACAGGGGATTGCCTAACAGCTGCTGGTCAAAGACACTATGTAAGTGTCACCCTTCCAGCTGGAATAACATGGATCATATTACAGGGTTAAAGCATTGGCAAATCCCTCCATTCCTAAACAGCCACACCTCTCTCCCCAAGCTGACAAATTTCAGAGTGGTAGCGGTGTTAGTCTGTATCAGCAAAAACAATGAGGAGTCCTTGTGGCACCTTAGAGACTAACAAATTTATTTGGGCATAAGCTTTCATGGGCTAAAACCCACTTCATCGGATGCATGGAGTGGAAAATACAGTAGCAGGTATAAATACACAGCATATGAAAAGATGGGAGTTGCCTAGGGTTACCATATTTCAACAATCAAAAAAGAGGACGGGATGA